CTGTGAAATGGGAAACTAACATTACTCCTTGTAAATACCATGGGAAGGGAAAAGCAGTAACACATATAAAGCACTTACAACAGGGCCTCTTCAGTTGACAAGAGATACCTGGAGCCAAGCGTATGGTTTGTATGCTTGGTGACCAAGGTTGAATAAGGGCTCAACTATCTTGAACTATTAGTATGGCTACAAAATGGGGAGCTATGTCTATATTTAATCATGGAATAGATGGTATGTGGGAAAGAACATGAAATAGTTATAAGTAAGGCAAAGGCAATTTAAAAATTAAGCTCTCATAAAGAAATATCCCAATATATCCCAATATAAAGGGAAAAAAATACAGTCTCTTAGGTGAAAAAACAAACCAAAAAAATCAGTCCAGCCTTGAAACTCTTACTATATTTGTAAAAATTATTAAAATGCCATATGGAATTCAACAAACTTGGACAAGCAATTACTGAGTGCTTACTAAGGTGTAAGAGCTGGGGTAAAAATGTACATAAGCCATTACTCATGCCTTCTAAGATCTCAAGGCACATATGATCTGCACACATTTAGCTAAACATGCAAAGTGTGAACCTATTCTATGAGAATTTGGAGAATATTTAATTCTTCCTGTGGGAAGAGAATTGGGGAATAAGCTTAAAATATTTCTCCAGAGTTACAACTCAAATGTCTACAAGATGAAGCAATCTCATAAATGTGTATAAAATAATAGGGAGTGGAAAGGGTTTGGAAAACTGGATAGTGCATTCCAGCTTAAAGAAATTCATGCTCAAATTTTTAAAAAATTATCATATATATCAACAAAACCATCTGAAGCCAGTTTGCAACCTCTGCAATACAAATAGGAAGTGCTATTTAAGTTGGATTATGCGTCAAGGTTGAACATCATCAAGTAGAGAAGGGGAATTGTTGAAATTCTAGACCAGATAAATATCTTTTGCTGAGAGCCAGAGATGAAGATACTTGAAATGTGTAGCTATCAGAAGATGGCCCAAGGAGTCGACAATGAGGTGCGAAGGGTGAGATCAGCCTAGATTACAAAGGGTCATGAATGCAATGGTAAGCAGTTCAGACCTCATCTTGAAGGCATTAAGGACCACAATATTAAGTTCCTTTAACAGCATCATTTTAAGAGTTGAAAGGTTTCTCAGGTCTTTATACAAACAGATGTATTATTATAAATGATTCTCTCTAACACGTAGCATCAACGTGTTCTCTCTCGCTAAGAAGTCTTATGGGATTACCATAGTAGAAACATGTACATTTGAAAAAAATCCATTCATTTAATGATTTGGATATTTATAAACATTTGTGATTTAATAAAATGGATGGCTCAGGTTACACAGATGACATCCAAGTTCATGGTGAATTTTTCTTCTCAGAGTTCTAAATATACATACAGCTTTTAAAAGGTACTCAGTAATGAATAATTATTAATAATTTAAAATTACTGCATACTTCTATATGCTATGCACTATCTCAAGTGCTTTATATCTATCTATTTTATGTCATTTTACTTGATTTTTATAAAATTCTCATTGCTATTTACAGTGCTATCCCATGTTACAGGTGAAGAAACAGAGATTAAATAATCTGTCCAAAGGCACACAGCCAGTAAGTAAACAAGCTGACATTTTACTTGGGCAGTCTAGCTCTCCAGAGTGCGTACCCTCAATGTTGAGATTCTATGCTCTGTATGAACTGATGGATAACTAGAGTTGGCCTTTCCTTGCTTGCTGTTGAACCAGACCTTCTTTCTTTTAGGAATCTGGTAGACTCTGTCGTCCCTGACCTTCCAAGGTCTTGTCTGCGCATGTTGCCCTAGGCTATCCCTAAAATTCTTTCTTGTTGTTGACTGTTAGAATTTCTTTTACTTAATGGCTCATTTTTGTCCTACTCCAATTACGCCCCAGAACCATTGGAGGACCATGATATCCTTTTTCTGTACTGCACCACCAGCCCCACCTTTTTTGGGCTACTACCTGACCTCTTTAAAACCTCCTCCATTCTCACCATAGGCTATATTGGGCAGAAGGCTTGGATCTACTTTGTCACTACTTCTTTAATATAGAAAAAAAAAAGTTTAGTACATGATAAAAGAAATCACAACACAAAATACAGCATTTACCTTCTAGACTATTTTTTGTGATTATCCGTAACATGATTATGGTTAACCGTGATCAGTATCCCTTTGTAACATGGTTATTGTGGCTTTTTGCATAGTTTCTTTCTGCTTAGAAATGGTTTCTAAACTAGAATTTCTGGGATGCTACATGAATAACTGTCATTTAAGAATGACTTTAATCTGCTGCTTTATCACAAAACATTATACTGTCAAGTTTTAACTTGGCTCTATTCAACTCAAAAATTCATGATAATATGGATGTTGACAATGTAGACATGACCCTCCTAAATAAAGAGGCCAAAACCTCTTACCAGACATGTAAAATTACCTATGGGTAATTATGTCACAGAGCTCGGTTTATGCAGTTCCTTTCCCTCATTGTTTTGAAGTTGCTAACAAATTTCTTCCACCAATATACCTACTCTTCTGTTGTTTGTTTCAATAAGCAGCTTCTCCAGAGCCTCAGGCACAGCACTTCCAAATGTCAGCAGCTATTAGCTCAGTACATTCATCTTTGTTTCCTTATTTCTCCTGAGTAGCCTGTCTCTCTCTGAGGTGAGTCCAGGTGGCTTAACGTAACACGGATGTGGGGGGGGGTTGTGTGTGTGTGTGTGTGTGTGTATTTTCTCAAAATAAGGCATTACAGCTATTTATCTTCTCTCTCATACTTGCTATTTGCTTGCAAACATTTTTGTGTCCGTCACGGTGCCCAGCATGATCCCTATACCTTGCTTATAATCTACCCTACAGAGGGTGAAATGTATTTTAAAAATTATGTATGTATGTATGTATGTATGTATGTATGTATGTATCTATCTATCTATCTATCTATCTATCTATCTATCTCAGTTTTCTAGTGCCTCCACTTTAATTCTAGTGCCTCCACTTTAATTTACGGAAATGGGAGGAAAATTTGGAGAAAGGACAGATTCTGTATTTTGAAATGCAATGTGAAAAAAATCATCATGCTGTTTTTCAGTGAAAACTTCCAAATTATGTGTCTATAATTTTTGTTCCTATTAAACATATAATTACATATGTGTGTGCAGGCATGTGTGTGTGTGCAGCACGTGTGTGTGTGCAGGCACGTGTGTGTGTGTGTGTGTGTGTGTGTGTGTGTGTACCGTATTTTTGCCATTAGGCATACAAGGGCAACATTTCTTCTGCTAGCCCAAATTTTCTGTTTCTCTATTCTTTGGCCAAACTCTATCTGAAAACACTTCATGTGTTTCATTTGTGATTTTTATAATCAAGTTCAGCTTTTACCAAACAGAGGCACCATATAATCAGGTACATTGGCTCTCCGAGGCCTGCAAAGAACTGTGTGTAACAGAGTGTACAGACTGATCAAACTAGCACCTGAATTAAAACCAAAAGGCAGGAGAACCAAAAATCTACTTTCATGATGTAAAAGCACTTGCTGAAATTAAAAACAATTTTTAATGTTTTACAATCATGCAGAAAACTGCAGCTGGAGTGGCCAGTCCTCAAAGGACCGTCTCAGATATAGGGAAACAAGAATCTAGATAAGACTTGAGGCCGATTATGCTATCATCTTCTTAGTTATCAGTACTTGAAGCAACCTGTGTAGCCTCTCACTTCTCTTGACCCAACATAATTCTCTTAACCCAACGTACTGTTGTTATGAACATCAAAGAAAATAAAGCATAGGGGAGTGCTTTGAAATTAGTAAAATACTCTACATAAATACAAGGTAATGTTATTACTGGTTTTATCTAGGAAAACATTTGCTGGAAAAGAGAAACTTTATCCTGTTTGGAATTTGCCAGCCCATTGTTTAACAATGAGCATTGTAGCATGGTTTGGCCACGTGAATTTCATTGCTTTTATTCTGATCAATCCATTGACCTCATTTCTAAAAAACTAGCTCCTTTTCTAAGGTCTACTGTATTATATTATAGTACAATATGGGGTATGAAAGAGAGCTATGGAATTAAGTCATGATAGAACTGATTTACGATAGATGCTTTCTTGTGTTTTTCCTATTTTACTTACCTGTGGAAGAAGCAATATTTCTTCATCTTCGAATTTCTCATGTTATAAAGAACTATCATGAAATTATATATGCACTATACATTTATATAGTAATAAATAGACTCTGACCAGATCGCTTGAGTAGTCTGTTAGTAATGACACTTAAGAGGAACTCAAGCAACTGGAAGAAATCAGTTTAATATTTAAAAATCTATAAACATTTATATATATTGCAATCTCAGTGGTGGTATAGCTGTTAGACTTAAGCAAAAAATACAAACTATACATTTCAAGAGAAAAATACAAGCTTATTATCTTTGAGTACATAAAATAACTCCTTCCAAATTACAGATCTTATATTCTATTAAATACATCTTTATAAAATCAAATTCGTGATGTTATAAGACTTGATATTACTAATGTACAGAAGGCATCTTTAAGCAATAAGATATTCTCCCTAAAGCTTGTATGATATTATTTTGTTTAGTAATTTTTTCCCTATAAATAGTTAAAAGGTTGTATCAGTTCAGCCCACAAGAACTTGTCAAACAATATAAATTTGTGTTTAAGAATAGTTCCCCACATATTATTTTTTGTTTTACATATTTACAGCCATGTGCCCACTTAACTTTGTGTTTATTTATTTCTCTTCACTGGGGAAAGACAGTAGCAATGGACCACAGCTACATCTATGTCAAATCCATCCTACTGATGTTAGCGTAGGCCTCATTTGACCAAAGGACAGCTGTGTTATTTATGAAGGCATTTAGTATCCCAGAATGTCAAAAAGTTGCAAACACATCCAATGAGAAACAATTTAGCTTTCTGTTTCCTCAGAAACCTCCTGACTGCAAGTGAAACAAATGCTTCTTACCTGCAGTGCACAACCATCGGACCAGCATCGGGAGGGTTACAGGTTTTGACTCTACGTAAGAAAGCTAGAAAAGGTGTAGGGTGTTCTGGAACACCATGATCAGGCCAGGCGGTGAACTGGAATTGTCTCACTTCTCTCTTCTCACTTGAACCATTCTGTGAAATAGGAGTATCAGCTGAAATGCTGTTTTCCCAGCCTCAAGTGGTAATGATGAATAACAGGGAAGAGGTAATGCTAAAATGTGCTATTTTAATTCCTTTCTCCCACCCTATATCCTTTGGGAAGACACACTCTTTGGCGATATAAACCCCAAGCTATTTGTAAATGACAAATATTTGTGCAGGAAGACAAAATTCTTAGGTGAGAAGCATTACATTTTTCAGGTTTAACTACCAGGAGAGCTCCTATCACATTTTCCAGGAAGAACTAGTTCTTCTTCATCTATTCTTCATTGGCTGAAAGTTTCATTCGGAGCAAGAGTTTTATATTTACTGATAAATCGCCAGACAAGAAGAAAAATGGCCGAGTGATAATGGAAGATTTATTTCATTTTTCACTGTTGCCATTGGGATCAAGATTTCAGTAAAGCCTTAAGAGATTTGATTTCTCAAAAGAAGCTTTCTTTAAACAATAGAGAGGGTAAAGGGAGGAGAACAAGATGAAAAGCAAACCTTGTAAAGTGCAAATGTTCGAACACAGTATGTGGCCAGCTCCACAGTATCGAGCAGCGTTACTTGAACCAGTCCGTGGGTTTCTGTGCCTCTGCTAGGCCAATACTGGTCACACTTCACCTACAAGAAACAAGTGACGCATTCAGGGCAAATGCTCATCCATTTCTCTATTAACGCTGCTTTGAGTCGCTGTTGAAGGAAAACAGCTTTTCTGCATTTCGTTTTATGTTGATCTTTTACTGGCATGCATTTTTGTTATCCCAATATATGTAAATTACTGCTCTGATGCCAATATAAACCACATTTTTCAAACTGGTAGGAATACTAAACAGTAACAGATTCAATTTTCCTGGAGAAAAAATAAGCTGCAGATTGTTGTTGGGTAAAATACAGAGAGAGGGATTTGAAACTTCAGTGTGCTTGAAAAGAAAACAAATTTGTCCTGGGATAGACGTTATGAATCGCATCGGGAGGATGACACTTTGGCATTTAAACTACATGGTAAGATAGTTAGTGTTAATTCATCAAGATATAAAAGGCATAAGGTTTTTCATCTTGAGCTATCACAACTTCCAAATATGCTTGTTTAAAGAAAAGTAGAAATAATTGGAAAATCTATCAAAGTATAATAAACAACATAAGCATGCGCTTTTTTCTTTTTAACACAAGATAAATGTTATTTGTATCCAAAGCAAATTAAACCTATAATGTCTACAGGAAAAAGAGCTGTCTGTTCTTTAAAAAGAGTCTCAGACGGTCATACACCAACAGTGCAAAGTTTAAATAAATTAAAATTCATTCAAGATGAACAATCTACAATTTCTATGTGGAGTGGAACAAAAGCACATAAAACGTATTCAACCCAATTAGTTTAACACACAACAAAGAATAATTCCATGTCTGCAGTAAGCCTCAAATTTACTGAATGAGTCTGTTGGGCATTAAAAAGCATAATGAAAAATAACAAACATAGCACAATATTTTTGTAGTAATGCCATAGATCTCACTATATTTACCCTTTCTATCTCAGACACTTTTTTAAAATGGGAGTAATTCTTAGGAGAACCTAACTGAAATACATTTCTCTAGGTAAAGAAAGCTCCTAGCAGTAGTTTAAAATAGGGAATACAGCTTTCTATTTGAAAAAGAAAGAACAGAAAATCACAATCTTGGATTTAAACAAAGGCAATAAAGCATTATTATTAGAGACACTAGAAATTTTTTGGTCCAATAGAATTATTGCATAATGATTTGCTTTTATGTTTAATATGAGTATTTGTAACATTCTGTGAATAATATTGTAATTTTCTCTTTCACAGAGATAGCATCTGCTCCTCTGAGAATTCAGGTTCTTTCCATGAAACAATTGGCCCTTCTAAGAAAGGGAGAGGTTTTATCCTGTACAGAATTTCCTAGACAAGACAAAAAAGAAAAGCACTTTACAGCTGTATACTAAGCTAGATATTAAATTCACAAGGTTTCATTTCTATGCCTTGATTTTAACTTTGAGACCACGCAAACATCACCTTTTTGATGAAAACAGACAAAAATTGTCCACAATAAGACAAAAATTTTACCTTAGTGAGATTTAAAAAATACTTTGTGTGTTTCCTAGTTGTACAAAATAGCCTTCTGTGTTTTTATTTCTATCATTTGCCCTAACTCAAAGAGATAACAAGACAGGGAAATGAGAATTCTTGAAGGAGAATACTGACGTACAGTGACCAGGCATGGGCATCTCTACATGTTCTTTCACCATAAGCTAAAACCCAGGTCACAGATGACATATTTAGCAAAAACTACCATCTGAATAGAACCAACACTACTTAAGCAGTCATGATTTAGATGAGAAAAAAAAAATCACAAAAATTATGCCAAAGGCTTTGTTTTAAACCATGAAATAGATGTCAAGTGGATGTCTCCCAGCAGAGGACAAAAGGAACTCTGGAGGCCTCATACTGTGGTATTCAAGAAGATGCCAACAATGTGTTGAGTTGAAGATTCAAGAAAGAAATTAAAATTCATCATTTAACAGTTTCAGCTGGACAGCAACCCTTTCAGTTAAAATAAACTAATGAAATCCCTGAGGACAAATATCACTATGATATGCACAAAACAGCACATTAATGCAACAAAATCATCTATACAGTCAGTTCAATGCACTGAACCAAATTCAATATAATTATATTTTAAAACTGGGACTTGATTACATTTAGACCTTCTCGTGAGGTAAGAAAAGGAGATGAAGGAAAGAATGAGAAGGCAACCTTCATACAACTTTTGGAAAAATGACTCTCCATCTACAAATCTTCTCCATTCCTAAGATGCAGGAAAAACTAAAATTATACTAATCCTCACATTTCTAGTAATGAGTTTGAAACTGCAGCTATTATTGGCTTAGACTTTGACCCCTTTACAAAAAAAAATACCACGGAGCATTACTATAAGGGGTAAACACTGTGAAAATTTCTAGCTAAAAGAGGAAGAAAGTTGTTTTTGTACTCAATTTGAATAATGCACTTTAATCTTATTATTTACCAAAAGAAAAATAAATGTTTCAACTGCAAAAATCAGAAGCAATTTTTTAAAGCGGTTATATTTAAATATTACCATTTTCTCTCAGGAAATATATCTCAAAAGGACCTTATGAAAAATAAATATCCTAACGTATGTGGAAATGCACACACGTGGCCTCAGCAGTGGGATCAGAAGCTTTCCCTGGGCTTATCTGAATAGCGACAGCAATACATTTTCCCCTTTGCTGGTGAGAACCTCAGCACTTCCTTTCTCCACCTCATTCTGAGTAGCCTGCACACCTTCATCTGAGTTTGGAGGGCTGAATTTAAGGGCTCAGAGTTACTGACAAATATGATTTTAAGTCTCATTTTTTGCCATATGCTAAAGATATGATTTCTGATTTCAGCATTAGGAAGCAAGTATGAAGTGTGGCGAGAAAAAAAAAAGGACAACAATGGAAATATTTTTTCTTTCCTCATTAGCTAGTATAAAGGAACTGTCTCCATTTTCCTCTCTTAAAATGTTTTCCTTTGACAACAGCCCTTCCCCTACTCGATTTTCTTAAGAGAAAATCTCATAAGGTATTTCTAGAGAGAGTTACTATTTGTTAGGCTTCACACATAAAGCTGATTGTGAGACGAGAAATGAAGGCAGCTCCCTTTGAGTACCTAAGAACTAGAAGGCAGGAGTTACTGAATACAAATACTGTTTTTTGCCTTTTTCTATTGATTTAGAATGGATACAAGCGGCCTTCAGCACTGATTCATGGAAGGTCAGGCAGAGTCTCCCTGGATGCCTCGAAAATTGCTTCTCTGTTTCCAGGACCAAAGCCTAGTCGCCTCATCTGTAAAATGGGAAGAGTGTCTCCAGCATTATGGAGCTATTGTGGGGACTAAAATGATGCCCTTAAAACACTTAACCATAATGGCTGGCACAAACAGGCATTCAACAAACACTAGCTATTATTGGTTATCGGTTCGATGACATTCTGGATTTTTGTGTATGTCTGGTTGTTGTTATAAATTAACTAAATCAGTCTAAGCGTGAAAAAAAGAACATGTTATTAATTTCAGCGGATAGTGGCTTAGGATTTTCTAGGTGCAAAGCAAGGTGTTAGCAGTTGTGGGGCACTGAGGTGACATAAGACTCAGACCCTGCCCTCAACCCATCAGCCTTATTGACTTAAGTGGGGGTGATTTTAAACCTCCTAGTTCTTCAAATAGGTGGTTCTGAGATACCAAACAATTCTCTTAATCTATGTGGGCCCCAATCTCTTCTGAGAAGAGTATGTGTTCAACTCTGAGGTAGAAAAGAAGAACAGCAGAACTTGTCACTCAAGCTGTGGTTTAGAAACATCACCCAGTAACTTAACTTGAAGCTTCAACTGAGACAGTTCAGAGTTTTGGCTAAATTTGGGGGAGGCATTTCTTTTTATTATCACAAAGTTATTACCCTTAAGTGAAGCTTTCATTTCTCTATAATTATGGAAAGAACAGGGTGACCATTGCTAAATTTATGCTATGGAATTCATTTATTTTACCTTTTTCATGACAAACTATCAAAATCAAGTTGATGGAATAATGAAACATATTTAAATGTATTTTTAAAAATCTTGTCATTGCAAATATTTGGTAGGAGCTGATCCATTAGGTCTGCTGACCATACTTGGGGAGAAGGGCTCTCGTTCTAGGCTATTTTTACTCCCATAGAGCTTATCTTGGGAGTGCTCGGCATATTGTAGGCACTCAATGAGTGGTAGCCAACTTTATAATCAATTAACTGTGGTCTACATTGGCTTATTTTTAAATTGTCTAAAACTTTCTGAAAACAAAACCTCCTCATCTCAATTTAATAATGACTTACTGAGCATGGCAACATGGCAAGGCATCAGAATTCCAACTGTAACAAACTGATACCTCCAAAGAGTTGTAGCATTGCTAATCCAAAACGTATTTGCCACATGGTACTTTGAAAAGTCTGCTTTGGACCAGATTATTTAGCCAAAGAAAGACTTAGAATAGGCAATAAACGATACGTGGGGCACCATAACTGTTGCTAAAAGTGACTGTAAATTCGTACCTGGTAAGTTTGGGCAGAGTGGTTGTTCAAGCATTAGTATGCTGTAACGAATGGACAAGCAGGCTAACTTTAGATAACACAAGTCAAAGTTATTTTTGGGAGTAAGGAAATGTTGGTACCCTTTTGCCAATACCCATTGAATGAGGGAGACTATAATAAAGGAAAGTTTTAGATAAATATCAGAAATTTTAGTGGGCAGAAAAATTAAATGCTGAACTATTTATTTCTACAGGTTATAGTAACTATTCTGGAAATTTTTAAGACCAGATTGAATACTTGATTTTCCATAATAAGGACAGAGAGCATCTCAGTGATTCTCTTTTAACAACAGTGTAGTTCTCTGCACTCAATCAATATTTGGCTATATCTATTCCCAACTGGCAGTCAGTCTGGTTTGTGTATTCCCCCATTTTATTATATCTTTACTAACACTAATTAGTGGAGGACAAAGAGGCAGTACAATATTTGAAATGAGAGTGATATTAAAGCATTTGACCACCAGTGCAGCTTTTCATATATACAGC